GTGGTATTCCTCCTTAAGTCTCTCGGCAACAATTTGGAGGAACTCCTGCGCATCCTGCTGCTGTCTTGAAATGCGCTGTCGGAACGCCTGCTCCAGAACCCTGACAAAATCAATGGCCGAGATGGACTTCTTATAGATAGGCCTCTCGTTCAGGGAGTCGAGCATGTCCTTGAGGCCCTTGGTGACCAGGCCGCGCTGCATGCCCTCAATCTTCCAGTCTGGGTAAGTCTTGCCTGGCGGCTGGACCAATTGGGAGTACACGCCGTCATCGTCGATATTCCTGCGATGCGTCTCGCGAATGAGGTATATGCGCAGCTCTCCGAGGCCGGCGAGGGCCTGCAGGGTCGAGTTTATGAAGCAGTCGTTGGCTGCATTGCGCAGACCCACGACGCCCTTTCTTCGGGAAGACGATGTGCTGGTCTCGTCGATTGTGAAAGTGGGCGCAAATACGTAGACGAGTGCGATTGCGGCGAGAGATGCGCCAGCGGCGTAGGAAATCGTGGTGAGGTTTTTGTCGGGCATTTCTAGGGTCGGGATGTTCGGGATACGAGGAGGGACGGGACGGGATTCGGAGGTGGTGCGCGGGAGGGCGCCAGGATCGGGATGTTGCAACGCCTATGGAAGAATTAGCACATTACAAGTTGCAAAAAAGACCTGGTCGACGGCTGGAATCAGGCGGGTTGCACATCCATCGGGGTTGCAGAACGGGAGAGGAGCAAAGTCAATCTTACCTATGCTCCGTGGAACCCAAGAAAACGCGATCTCATAACGACGAGGAAACGGGGCCAGTAAGGGTATCAAGGTTCGACATTGTCTTGTGTCCAGAGTACAAAAAGTTGCGAGTCAACTGACGGTGAGGTGTATGCTGGAGGGAGAGGACTGGCGGTCCAGCTTGGTGCAGACGGGTAGAAGGGAGGAAGAGGAGACGGTGACGAAGCGAGAGAGAAAGGCAGAGTTGAGGCGAGAGTGTCCAGCTGGAGAGAAACTGGAGTACTGGAGACGGTGGACTGGGAAAGAGGGTCTGCGATGGAACACCAGGTAACTGGAATGGGTGGACGAGGGGGTCGCTTGGCCTGGGAGTGCGTCGAGTGTGCAGCAGCAGCAGTACCTAGGTACGGCGAAGGTAGTTGCAGGGCGGACGCTACGGGGGCCACCTAAGGTACGAAGCAAAGCGAAAAACGGGGTAAAATGGAGAATTGGGACGGTGGGATGGGACGGCCAAGGAATGGCCAAAGAATGGGGTTTGGTTTACGAATACCCCCGAGACGAGTCGGGGGAGAGACAGTTGACTTGACGGGGGGGCGGTCGTCGGTAGAAGCAGGAGAGACACTGGCCCAGAGACAGTTCGGGGGTCGGGGATCGGGGATTGGTGGAGGACTGGAGAGTCAGTCAGTCAGTTGAAGCATAAAGACGAGAAAATGAAGGTCGATACGGCGTGCACAAGTTGCGGGGATGACACTGGCAAGGCGGAATGTGGACGGATGGGCGGGTTTGTCTATAGACTCTGGCCGTTGGACTAGGTATGGTCTTTGGTCTTTGGTCATTCGCCTCTGGGCTAGTTGAATGAGGTGGTCTCTCGAAGGAAACAGGCATTACTCCTGCTGGTTTACTGCTGAATTGCATTTAACGCCGAGGTGTCTGTCTCTTGCCATGTCAGATCGTGTCATGTCATCGGGACTCGGATGGGAAAGTGGGTGGGTGAGTTGACTCTTGCTAGGTAGGTAATGACTTGTGAAGGCACTGAAGAGAAGAATGGAGCAACAACAGAAAGGTCATCCAGCGCCTCCTTCCTTCCCGTCGGTGTTGGTACCTTTGGCGGCTGTGGCCCACCCACTCACCGTCACCGTTTCCCATTACACCCTTAGCGCTGAACCGTTCCTTCCTTCCGCCTCTCACGTTGCTTCCTTCTTCCAGCCTTCCATTCGGCCTCCGTCGACGGCCCGCTCGCCACTAATGGAACCTCTTGCCCTGCGGCCATCGATTGGGCAGGTGTTGAAGATGCGCCTCTTGCCGTTCACATAGGTTTGCATTGAATAAGAAGAACGCAGGTGCAGCCTCTGGTCCCGGCACCGCCCGCTCGGCCCTCTCGGCCACCGTTGATCCGACCTGCTTGACTGATTGGCGGGAAGGAACCTGACTCCATCAACGGTACTTAAGGTGGTACCTTACTGGACGACTTCCAATTGACCCTTTTAGCCGTCCCCGCGTGCCTCCTCCGCCTCTCTTTAGGTACACAACGGACGCTTGCCTTAACCGCCGCCTCACCGTCGTGCCCCATGTCGCTAAACGGTGCTTGGATGCGTCCACCTGCACATCATTCTCCATCCAACATCATCCTCCTCCACCACAGACACCGCCGCCTGAACACACCGATCGCAGAGTCGCTCACATGGCTGCACTGGCAGACCGTACCATCTGTGTGCTCTACCACCGCCGTCGGAAATGTTCTACGACATGTTCTGGAAGCCCTCATGCGCACCCGGCCCCATGTCGCCCGATCCTGTCCGCCCTGATCTTCCCGCATTTCGCCCTCTCTATGCGACCAACCGCCGCCCAGAAGCTCTTGTCTTTGCTGCAGGGCGATACATCAATCGCACTGATTGACACCCTCCAAGCCACCTGATTGGGGACCGACGCTCCGTCTCTCCCTGCCCTGCGACGTGGGGGGTTGGAGAAGCAAAACTATCCAATGCAACGTCACCCGCAAGCACCGCAGCAAGTACCTCACCACTCACCTAGCTGACCACCCACAGTCGACTCGCTCGTTTGTCAATATCCCAGGCTCGTTCTGCCGATGCTGCCTGCAGCTGACCCCAAGAGCTTGCATCCGATCTGTCCGAGCCATCGTACGGTCACTAATGCTCTCGTCCAAATGTTAGGACTCATCAGCGACGAAAGCCCGCGGACTGAAATCCGGGCGGATTACCCCTCAATTGCATGCTGCCTGAGATACCTAGCACCGCATGTCTCGGATCCCCGCATTACCACCTCTCGCGAACAGACCTTCCCCGTCTCAACTCGCTGGGATTGACTTTGCTCGAAAGGCTTATTGGTCGCACTGACAGACTGGCCAACGCTTGTCTGATATACCGCAGCGTCCCGTCTTCCCGCCGATGCGCGCTCATCTTGCGCCCGGGCTTCTGCCGCCCTCCGCCGTCGAGATGGAAACGGCCGGCGCGCGGGTTGACATGCTGTAGCCGATGGCGCTGAGAGACTTGACCGAGCGTCGGCGCCGTGAATCACCCTGTGATTGACGCTGCGTAATAACGTGGCGCTGTCGGCTGGACAAGTTGCCCGAAAGCGAGCTCCCGTCATGGCGATGCAGAGGCTTACCGCACCCAAAAATTAACGAAACCGCGAATGCTTTGACGTGCAGTCTGCCCATCGTCTCCGCCGTCTTGGCATCCGTCCTGCATCGGGGACCGTTGGGATCTACCCCGGATCCTGGACCCTGGATTTCGCCTCCCGAGTATTGCACACGAGACATTTTGACTCGGGAATCCCTTGCGAGACCTGCCAGACAGCAGTTGTGAAAGCAGTGCTAGCAGAATCTGCGTTACCACATTCTGCGTGACCATGCCGCATAGCAGCCAATTTCTCATCGAGAGACCGCTTTCGTCCATGTCGCTGCCTCAATCATTGCCGTTTGGTTGTGGACTAATAACCATGGGCGGGGCTTCCACGGGCTGGCCCTCCCAATCCCAAATTGAACCTCTCAGCGCAGCCGCCTTTACCCAGTCGCAACACACAGTGCTTGTGTCATCATCACCGTAGAAGGACGTCGGGATGTAGTACTTTTCCACAGTCATCCTGTTCTCCGGATCGTACTCGGCCCACCTCGTCGTCACCACTTCCGGCATTTCGTTCTCTACGTTGGCGAGAGTGACCTTGAGTCGCTTCGAGGTTGCAGCCGATAGAAAGTCTTGCGCCTTCTCTTTGACGTATGCAACCCCAACGACGGCTGGCCGAACAAACACAACTTGGTCGAGGCTGCGGCAATTAAAGATGTCTCTCCACAACAGGAATGTGTCGACGTGAGCGTCGAAAAGCACCACGCGCCGGAGGCTTTTCAAGATCGTCCAGTTTGTGATGAGATACGGATAGTTGCGCAGAACGACCAGCTCCTCCAGCTTGGCGAGTCGGTGAAGTCCGTCCGCTAATGTTGGTATCACGTTGAAATGGTCGTCCCATGGGGGCAAGGTGTTCATGGGCCAGTCTATTACGAGCCGTCGAAGACTGCCGCATACTTCGCAGAGCAGCTCTCTAATCCAGAGTGTCATGGGCTGGTCATCTAGGTGCTTGCCAAAGGGACTGAGGTATAGCGAAGTGATGCATTTCAGGGGAAGTACGAAAGGGAGAGTCGAAAGTCGCGGTGCTGACATGGTCAAGAGCACCAAGCTAAGACGCCAGCTGGAGTCGAGGTGCATGCATCGTTCGCGGAGTAGCCTGGTAGCCAGCTCGTGGGTTGATCTGGAGACGAGAGTAAAGGATATGAGTGTCTTTGTCGCGCTGGACGAGGCTGGGAGAATCGCTCTTCCATTTGGGAGGAGGCCCTCGATGACGTGTAAGATAAGCTCGGGCGGCAAGCGCTGGATTTCAGAAGCAACGGGTGGCATCCTGAGGTATGCCTCATTCAAAGAAGGTTTGATGAAAATTGGCCTCTGACAGATCTGCTGTGCAATTTCGAAGTTGGATGGGTCAGATGAGATGAGAGATATGCCAACGGGAAGGAACTAACGGTGGTGCCAATCCTCTCGGCCGGTGAGGGGTTCGGCAGCCCCACTATTTCCCGCCACGGCCAATCCAATTCCGTCCCGTCTCACCGATCACCGATCACGCCTACTGCATCATTCTTCTCAAACAACAAGGGAATCTTCGGCATTCGTTACTTCTATCAAATTTTGTTAAACCCATATGAACATGAGGTCTTGATTACGTTATCCCGCGTCCTCTGACGCTGAATCTCTGCCTTGCACCGTTCCATCCTCGACCCTCCAGCGCTATGAGAGGGGCTTCTCAGCGACGATCCCAGCCTGCTTCGGCTGCCACAAGAACCCAGTAGCACTCCGCGACGTGCCCGCTTGCTCCTCCGACGAGATGCCGCCGTCCGGCACGTGTCTCGGCACGGCATCCTCCGCCGCGCCCTGCCACAGGGACGCGCTCCGTCCTCTCACGCCGGGCTCGGTGGCGGTGAACTCGGGGCTGGAAGACTGCGAAGACGCCGCGCCACCAGCACCAGGAGAATCCACCAGCGCCGGCGGCGCGCTCGGCTCCCTCGCAAACCCCGTCTCCGCGTCGCTGGCAAGGCTGACAACCATCCTGCCCCCGCGGATCTCGCCGCGCCGCATCCGGTCCAGGCCGCGGTTGATACCCTCGAACCCGCTCTCTACGCCGAGCACCTCGGGCGCGCTGACCAGCCCGGCCGCGAGCAGCCGCTCCAGCCAGAGGACCAGCGCCTCGCCCACGGCCGGGACTTCGTGGAAGACTTTGATGGGAACAGTGTGGTACGCCACGCCCTCTGGCGCAGCCTCCTTGGGTAGTCCCGTGAGCCCGATGAGGTGTTTGAGGGATGGGTCCGCGTTGCGCGGGGTATCCGGCGGACTGGGAGGCCTGGACGGGTCTTGAGGGGCGAGTGCGCGCAGGAGCGAGGTCGCGGAGTCGCGGCCGGAGGTATCGAGGGCGAAGCGCAGCGTCTTGCCGACGTTGGCGCGGATGATGTCGACGGCGCGCGAGGGGTCGTGGCTGTCGACGAGGAGGTCTGGGCGGAGGACGGTGTGGTTGGATAGACGCAGGCCGTGGCGCAGTTTGTCCACGACGGTGACGACTTTGAGTCCTGCCAGCCGCGCGAGCTGCACGGCGAGGTTGGCCGACGTCGAGGACCCGCCCCAGATGGCGACCCAGTCGCCCGCGACAGCGCGCTCCCCGTCCCGGATGCCGGAGAGGCACTCTGCGCGGATGTCGGCGGGGAGGGCGTCCGGCGGGATGGAGCGGACGAGGGAGAGCAGGTCGGGGCCGTCGAGGACGGAGGAGAAGTCGACGCCCATGCAGACGCCGAGGGACAGGACGGCGGCGACGAAGGCGACGCCGAGGGTGGCGCCGGCGGCAGGGGAGACGACCGCGGGCGGGGGCAGGCGGACGGCGTTGAAGTCTGCGGTGGCGACGTACTGCTGGTAGGCGGCCTTGCGGAGGTCGCGGTAGTCTGTGGAGATGACGAGGACGCGGTCGCCGGGCTGGAGGCGGGAGGTCGAGGAGGGGTGGCGGCGGACCACGCGGCCGACGAGCTCGCGGCCGGAGATGTAGGGGAGGGAGGGGATTGCGAAGTTGAAGTCTCTGTGTGTTGGTGTTGGTCAGTGGCTGCTGCGGGTGCATGGGGATCGCTGGAGGAGGACTTACGGTGCCTTCCAGTCGATTGGGTTCAGCCCGATGTGCTCCGTCTGTACCAACACTTCCCTCTCATCTTGGAGCTGGGGTACTGCGTAGCCCTCTGCCGTCTCGTACGGCTGCTTTGCAGCATAGAGGATGAGGACGGTCTGCGTATCCGGGATGTCTGCCATGGCGTCGTCTTGTTCAGGGTATCATTGGTCGAGGAAGGGGGGATGGGGGGTTAGGTGAGTTGGTCCAGCTATGGGATGAAGAAAATGTCCTTGATGCCGGCGTCTAAACAAGCCGAGTGGTGCGCCGTGGGCAACAGTTCGTTCCGGACGGGATTATCTGCAGTGTATTGATGTTGCAGGAAATGGGAGAAAGAGTTCACGCCTGATCTCAGGGGGTTTGTGAAATACCAACACAACCGTTGCCGGCAACGTTTTCGTCGGCAACAGATAAGAGCCCCCCCTCTTCGCCATCATTTTTTTTTTATTATTGCTCGAGGCCCCCTTCCGCCCGACATTCGGAGTGATCGTCCTTGGAGGGGGATTTGGGTGTGTTCGTGGAGTCGGGGGTATTACGTGCTCTCGCAGTCCCGCATTGCGTGATTCTTCTCCAAGATGGCTGCATCGCCATTCTACCACCCCTCGTTGGCCCCAAGGTTTCCCGGCGATAACGACCATTCGCGCTACAGAATTGGACTAAATCATTCGAAAACCTCCACTCGAAACCTTATGAGGGCGGTTAAATTAAGAGCGGGATTATCAGCTGGTCGCGCATTCCTTTTACATCGCAGGTACTGCGGGATGGTCTCGATTGCGTGCCGGGAGACGGTGAAGAACAACACCCAAACCGGGAATATTCTCGGCAACCCCAAGCGCGGCAGCCCGCTTTGCGACTCCCGGACCTGCACTACCCGCCGAGCCAATCTTCGCGGGGTGTTTTCCATTGATGCCGATGCAAAGATTCAAAGACGGCGGGTTGCACAGCCATGCGCCATCCCACCCCCGGCCCGGCCGCTCCACTCCGCGCCTGTCACGACATGTCGCAGGATATGTGCCAATCGAGATATCGGTGCCGCGCCGATGTAGGCATCGCTGATTAATGCAAGGTGCGGCTGCGCTTCCGGTTGTTTGGTGCCGATCACGCAAGATGAGCTTTTATTCTCCTATGATGCACCTTGTTGTGAGGGTTTGGACGGCGCTTTTGTAGTCGAGGAGATGAGGTTGAATTCGTCAGACCTGCTCCCCGCTCAGTGACGCTGATGGAGCCGGGATGGAGCAAACCCCGGATTTCGCTGGATCTTCCGATGCGGGGATTATTCGTGAATATGAGAAGTCCTCCGCTCAATCTTATGATTTGTTTCCGGGACTTTTTCTTGAAGTAGCAAATCATTGTTGGGAGTGTTTTGTGATGAATTCACCAAACAACACTGGCAACGCCCCTCCTCTTCCCCCTCACACCAAATTAACCCTTAGGTCATTGATCTCTTGGCCGTCCGGTGATGATTTGTTTTAATGGCTCAACTAAGCTCTGCGATGAGCCGGCCTGGGTTAGTCGTCTCAGTATCTTGATCTTGATGGCTTTACACATTTCACAGCTCAAGCTCAAGATGGCTACTTTGAGGCAATTTAATGAACCAGGAGACGTATCATAAGGAGACGTTCACCGAGACGGACTTATCTTATTGTTCTTATGAGAACAATCTCATTCTGTTATTTTTAAAGAGATTTCACTGCCCAGGCGGATAGTGACTAGACGGGTAACAATGACTATCAACTGCCAGCGACAATAAGAACGAGAAAGACGAGGAAGACGGCGAAGACGAGAATGAGAACGATAAGAATAACAAGGACAAAAAGGAAATTGAGAGTGAAGAGAGCGGTAAAGAAAACGAAACTGGCAAAGGCGGCGAGGACAGTCGCATCCTCTCTTCTAAGCCTTTTACAGCGCATGACAATCTCATGGCCAACCAATAAGGCTAAGCGATGCACCCACATCGCTTAACTTATTTTCACTCAACTCAGAGACAGAGACATTTCTTTTCAATGTTTTAAGCAATCGTCCATGACACCTCAACAGCAATTCTGTCTCATTTGAGTAGGCCCCTCGTTGACCGGGTCTGCTTATGTAAGACAGTTACACCGACCCGAGGATGGTCCCTGGATCCTTGAAGTTATTCTGACTCCTAAGCTTCCAACTTTGCCAACTTTTTCGAGTCAATGCCTAAGGCCCTGTGCTGGATCCCGCGAACCTCCCCCAAACTTCGAGACAGTATGACGTACGAACTCTTCATGAAGGGAAATCTTCACCACATCGATCCTGAGTGCACTTTCTTTTATACACGATGAGCAGCGACGTCTTGGTAATACAAGACCTTCCTCGGCCAGACGCAGAAAGCGGCCCGGCCGCGCACTCAGTTACAGCAGTCAATTCATCCGACGACGAAGTGCAGGTTGACCCCGATGGTGACCTTATCCTCCGAGCCGGTGCGCAGACCGGCCTGGCGGAGCGCTCGTTCCGCGTGTGCGCCAGCGCGCTGAGGAGGTCCAGCCCCGTGTGGAAGAAAATGCTCTTTGGGCCGTTCAAGGAGTCGAAGCCGGCGTTCGGGGTGTGGCAGGTCAGTCTGCCGGAGGACAATCCCGTTGCGCTGGGGATCCTGCTGCACATCGTGCACGCGAACTTCCCGCTTGTGCCGCATAAGCCGAGCTTGGAGGAGCTGTACGATGTGTTCCGGCTCGCGAACAAGTACGACATGATTACGACGTTGAAGCCGTGGGCGGCGGCGTGGCTGGAGGTCGCGGAGAGCTTTGCGGGGACGACGGATGGGAGGGACATGGCTGCGTTGGCGTATATTGCATGGGAGCTGGGGCAAGTGGACTTGCAGCGGAAGATGATGAAGGAGTTGGTGATGAACTGTGCGCTTGATGGCGAGGGGCGGATGATTACCCATGACGGAGTTGTGTTGGATGAATTTGACCCAATTGGGCCGCCAGGACTGCTCGGTAAGTTTGTAAGTGGCGGGGATACTGAGATGAAATTCTTAACGTCTTGCAGGATACATGCGAAAACACCAGCAGGAAATATCCAAGGCTCTGCCGCTACACCTCAACTCTGTGCTTAGGGAGCTGGCACACGGCCCGGGGTGCTGTGTCTCGAAAACAACCGACTTGGACGCAAAGTCGAACTGCAACGACGTTATCCTTGGCAGCTTACTGAGGGCGATGGCGAATGCAAGGGGTTCGGTCACCTTGACCCTTACAGTCGACGAGGGTGAAAGCGCTGCCAAGTTGTCGACTTCGATCAAAGGTATTGCTGAGAAGACGTCGGTGTTGGATGGGCACCTGAAGTGCAATCCCGGGGGCAAAATAATAGCGGCGCTTGCTAAGACGACCAAGGCGAAACCAATCAAGTTGAACAAGATGAGTATCGAAAAAATGAGCAAAAGACGAGAGGATTTGGGGTTGGAGAAAGCGATACCGGGCACGCCGGTAAAGACGAGCGAGTAGTCATAATAATCAAGGTAGTGGTAATAATGAGAAAGAATCGTATCAGCTGTGTATCAAATATTTCAAAACTGCCATAGTAACTTCCATAAAAGTTCATTAAGAATATTCCAAACTAAATACATGCTTAGGCTGCGTTCATACTATAGGTCATTGAGGTAGAAAGGGGAAATTTAGGACATAATGCCCCTGTGGCCATCACCATCAGCATCCTTGAACGGGTTCAACTTGTCAACCAACGACACCTTCTTCTCAGAAGAAGTGTCGGTGGTGTGGCTTTGATGATCACCAGAACGGGGCTATTGGGAGTTAGTCGAAGTCTGTTGAGGGAAGGCAAAATTTCTCACCTCATTCTTGTTCAGGGACGAGGTTCCATTGAGGCCGGAACCATTGCCAGTTGTGTAGTTGCTGCCGTTGCCTGTAGAAGTGTGAGTACCGTGCATGATACTCTGCACCGTGTTGGTGCCGCTGTTCTTACCAGAGCCAGTGGTGTGGCCGTGGGCGATGTTGTCACGCTCATGAGTAGCAGGATTCTTGGACAGGCCGTTGTTGGACAGGCCGTTGTTGGTCAAGCCATTGCCATTGTTGGTCAAGCCGTTGTTGGTAGCGGTGTTGCCAGCAATGCCGTTGTTGGCTCTGGAGTTGGTGGTCTGAGCAGCAGTGACGTTGTCGGCAGCACGCTGGTTCTCAAAACCCTGGCCCTGACTAACGCCGCGGTTGGGCAAGCTGGTCGTGTTGGACGTAGTGTTGGTGTTGTTGATACCGTGGGTACCAGTGGTGGTGTTGTCAACCTTGTTGTTGTGGTGCTTGTGAGCGGCAGCGCCCGCACCGGCAGCAGCAGCGGCTCCAGCAGCGGCAGTAGTCTTGTTGTGGCTGTTGTGGTCGTGGTGACCCTCGCGACCGGCAATGCCGTGCTCTGTCAGGCCATCGGGGTGAATAGCATCGCGCTTCTCCTCCTTGTTGTGGTGGTGGTGGGCAGCGGCACCGCCAGCGGCGGCAACGGCGCCAGCAGCGGCAACCTTACCGCCGTTGTGGTGGTCGTTGTGGTGGCCATTGTGGTGGTGGTCATGGCCGTGCTTGTTGTGGTGCGATGCGAGCCCAGTGTGCTCGGTGCTCTCGTAGATTTTGTTGTGCTTATCGGGGCAGCCGTCAAACTCCTTCATCTTGTTGGTGCCAGTAAGCTTGTCCTTGCCCTTGTTGAACTCTTCAATGGTCATTGCGGGGAGAGTGGTGGCGCCATGGTGGATTGGCTTGGCGTGGTGAGTCTCGTGAATGGGCACGGTGGTGTGGACGACGTGGGGCTGGATCGTCTCCTTCTGAATGACGGGCTGGATGTGCTCGTGGACGTGGTGGTGTACACGCTCGCCGGTGACGACCGGGGCAGTGTGGGAGGTGTGCGTGGTCTCGTGCGTAGTAGAGGTGTTCTTGAACTTCGCAGCCTCGCGGTCAAGAGTATCTCTGGTCTCGCTCTCGTTGCCGTGGTTGAAAGTCTTGTGCTGGGTGGGGATCATGTTGTGGTGATGCTGCTCAGGACTGCGCAATCATTAGTCAATGCCATGTATAGAGTAAAAATTTGGACTCACAGAGTCTCCTTGTGCTTAATGGGCTGGATGTGGGTGTGGTGATGGTCTTGGTGGACCTCCTTGTCAACTGCTGTCGTGACATTCTCGTGCTGGTGAGGG